CACCCCCGCCGTGGGTGCCCCGGGACACGGGTGGGGTGGGGCTGAGTCCTGCCCAGGCAGAGCCCACGGGAGCCCAGCGCTCCCGGCTGGCTGCGAGGGCTGGGATGGGCTCCCGCGGCTCTTTTCCCGGGGAACGAGCATGCCAGGCATGAGGGCACTTATCTGCCAGATCTCACTGTTACCCCAAACAGCCAAAAAGTGTCCCAGGAACGGCTGCCCCGTGTGAGAAACCAGGAGGGAGCGGAGCTCCTGGGCGGATGGGGGCCGGCTCTTCAGGTTACCTGCATGACAGAAATCTCCGCTCGTCTTTCCAGAGTTACGGAAACCGCAGAGGTATCAGAGCATTTAATCGCTTGTTTTACTGCCTGGGCTGTGTGTTGTGGTGAGGAGCTGCATTCCAGACTGACGGCTCCTGCCGATGGCTGCTGGCACCGCCGGGCGCTGCTGCCGGGCCCGTCCCCAGCACAGCTCTGTGGGTACGATCCGCACCCCTGCAGCTCTTTGGGTACATCCCCATCTCCGGGCACATCCTCATCCCTGCAGCTCTTCGGGCTCATCCCCAGCCCTGCAGCTCTTTGGGCACATCCCCATCCCTGCAGCTCTTTGGGCACATCCCCAGCACAGCTCTGTGGGTACGATCCCCATCCCTGCAGTTCTTCGGGCTCATCCCCATCCCTGCAGCTCTGTGGGTACGACCCGCACCCCTGCAGCTCTTCGGGCAGGGCAGGGTGAGAGCAGCTCAGCACGGGCTCTGTGCCCTGTGCCCCATCCTGGGCAGGATGAGAGCAGCTCAGCACGGGCTCTGTGCTCCCTGCGCCATCCCACTCGGTCTCCCCGTCCTTCCAGACCTGCGATTCCCGTGCAGCCTCTCCAGCAGAGCCCGCCGGGGCTGTGCCAGCCGGAGGTGCCAGGGCTGCAGGAGGGCAGAGCTGCATCCCCTCACCCAGGAACAGCAATCTGTTATTATTCACGGGAACAGCAATTCGTTATTATTCAGCGGGGAACACGCTCCTTTCAAACCCCTTCCACTGCAGTGCTGGGACTCCTTCACACAAATCTTAGGGGCAAATCCAGCTACATCATGGTGAGGCTCCAAAACTTGCAGCAGTATTTCAGAATACTTTATTTCTTCCCAAATCAGGGCAGAATCCTGACAATAAATGTCATTAACAAAACAGTTTTCTACAGCAATGAGAGCTCTGTGTAAGGAAAAATAAATTCCTTTTTCTCATGAAAAACATCTCTGAGTTAATTGTAGAACCAAAAAAAAAAAGGCCTTGATTTCTGCCATCCATCATGGAAAAGGTTGGATCCAAATATACATACATTAAAAATAAAAAGGTATAAACAATGCTTCCTTCCTAAAGAGCTTCCCTGGCAAACCCGGGCCGTGCTGGCCCCCAGAGCCCGGCTGCCTCCAGCTCATCTTCCTGCTGGTGGAGCTGAGCTCCTGGGGACGCTGCAGGCACCTCTCAGGACCACTTCCCTGCAAAATGGTTTGTTTTCAGTCCATCTTTGATCAAAGGAAGGCCCAAAGGCTTTCCTTCCTCCAGCACCTCTGCGAGTGGCTGCCCCTGGAGCTGTGTCCTGGTGTGGGGTGGGACTGAGCCTTCCTCCTTCCTCCTCTGCTCCATCGGCAGCCCCTGAGCCGCCCTGCAGAGCCCAGCAGCTCTGGAAGCTGTGTGGGATCGGGGGGACTGGGACCACTCTGCTCTCTGGTTTGGAGACACCAGCTCCTTCCCCCTCCCCAAGGCCCGTGGGTTTCATCTGTCCCTTTGGAACTGCTGCTCCTCGGGGAAAGCCTCTGCTCCCACCTCCAGAGGATTAGTGCAGCCAGGACCGAGTCCCTCTGTTCATTACACGGGGTAAAGCTGCAGGAAATAAATCCTGTTAAGCCATTGGGGCCACTCCGGGCTTACCCAGACACAAACAGCAGCACTATAAATAAGATCTTGGTTTGATTAGGGAAATAAAGGCAGGAAAAAAGCACTTAAAAGATATCCAGAGGAAATAGAAGCTCTCCCCTCCAGTCATGCTGACAATGATGAATTAGTCCACGAATGCCAGTCAGAGAGTGAGTCATGATTCATAAATAAATTACAGCAAGATATTCATAGAATCATAGAATATCCTGAGCTGGGAGGGACCCACAAGGATCATCAAGCCAGCTGCTGGCCCTGCACAGGATGACCCAAAATCTTAAGAATCTTAGGAAATACCTTGGTAATATTCATTTAATCTGGGACATTTGTAGCCTGAGATGCCACTAAACACTCAACATCCAGAGTAACTCAGTGAGCCTGTACCAAGCACATATATTTATTGTCGTTGACAGAGCTGATTTCTGGCAGTGTCCACTCAACCTTTGTTGGAGACAAAGTGATTTGGAGAAGCTGCTAAATGGGTTTTACATCTCGTGTTCTCAGGCCTGGGGACTGGCAGGGCAGTGGCAGTGGGCGCTGCCTGTGCCAGGTGTTGTCCCCTCCTGAGGATGCTCATCGGTGAGATAATGGCACTTTCCTCCCTTTCTTTCCAGAGAAAGGCTGCTTTTGCAGTGCTTTGCAGTTAAATAATTTGCTGGTGTTCCAAAATAAGAGCTGGGAAGGGAGCTCAGGGCCTTGGCTTTGTTGTTTCACCCCGTCCTGCCTCCCCCAGCCTTGCTGTACTGAGATGCAAAATTATCAGTGGAAGAGTTTATAAAATGTCAAAACAGTTTCTCTCCTGTCAGGCAGACAATTTGTGTAAATAGAGCCTCTCTAAAGAGCCTCCTGCCAGCTTAAACCTCCCTTTCATCTCCCCAGGATTTATTGTATGCCACTTTCGTGGAATTTTAAAACAGTCTCTAATGAAGGGCGAGGATGGAAAGTTCTGTGCTGTGCAGAGGGATCTGCTGCCACCTCCCAGGGCCGGGTGTGGAGCACAAACCCGGGTGATTTCCCCTCCTCACACGCAGGAGGTGTGGGAATGGCTCTGATGGAGCTGTGCAGCTCCAGGAATAAAATATCCCAAGGCTCACATGTCCCCAGTCAGCCGTGTGACTCGCTCCTCCCCAGCCCGGCTGCTGTGGGCAGGAGGAACTGGATAACCGGGGCTGCTGCTCCAGGGCTGGCAGAGATCACTCCCCTGGGCAGGAGTGCAGCTGGCACCGAACTGTGCCAGCTGCTCTGCGCCCACCCCACAGCCACACCCAAGGAAAACTCCCCAAAACTCCGGTTACAATTCTATTCATTTTAAAAACGCACAGAAATATAATTTGTCCAAGCCCCTGTCGCTGCACTCCTGCCCTGTTTGTAGCTGGAATTCCGGGGCTGGCCGGCGGGAGCAGTTGGGATCCAGCCCTGTGCCCAGCAGAGCACTGGGCTGTACTGGTGTGGCAGCCCCAGCTCCTCCAAACGCAGCTCAGCCCCAGCTCGGGGCTTGGAGACCCAAAGCCATGGGAGAATCCGAGCCCAGCACGGCCCAAGCCCAGGGAATGGGATGGGGAAGGGAAGGGGAGGGGAGAAGAGCTTTCCAGATCTGATTGTCCTCTGACAATTTGCTCTTGACAGCAGTTGAAATCATCTTTGGAACCAGCCCTGCATTCTAAGGACAGTGAACTTTGCCTTTCAGCACAGCTCTGGGTGTGCCAGACGAGGGCTTTCTTCAGGTTTTTGCGTCTGTGAGAAAAACCAGCAGTGGTTTTCCAACGTCACTGTGCCCCTATTGGAGGGGCAGGGGAAAAAACCCCAACTGGGGAGTTTCAGAGGGAAACCAAAAGGGTTCTGCTGCTATCCAGCCCTTTGCAGCTCTGTGCAGACCAGATTAACCCTCCTTTTACCACGGATGGGGAAACTGAGGCACAGTGGCAGGGTGCTGTCCCCACGCCAGGCCCCAGCCTCTCATTCTGGCTCCACAGCCACTCCAGCTGGGATTCTGCTCCACACTCACATCCTCCCTCTGCCTGCCTTTCACTTCCTTCCCGGGCAGGGAAGAGCCAGGACAGAACTCGCCACTTGCCACCGCTCAGTTTAGGAGTCACTTGGGGCTTTTTCCTCTAAAGTAAACATTACATTTTGAAATCCAGAAGAAAACACCTCCTGACCTCCTGGCACAGGAGCAAAGCTGCTGGGATGTAAGGAAAGAGGGGGCACAGGAAGGGTGCAAGGAGAGATGTCCCAGAGCACGGAGGGGCTGTGGCTGGGCCAGCCTGGCTCTGTGTGTGCCCACCCGGGTCCCACCTTCCAGGAGGCTGCTCTGTCCTCCCCGCGGGTGTTTCAGCCCCGGCAGGACAAAGGCAGACGTGGCTGTCGTTGACTCACAGGATAAGATCATTGTTGTGGGATATTTTGTTTTCTGCGTGTCACTTAGACATAATTTTTTTTCTAGCAGATTTGTTCTCCTCCCCTCCACCCCCAAAGTGAAAAGGGAATCTGTGCTCAAAGCCGCAGCTGAGATTGCAGAGACCTTCCCTTCCTGATCCTTATCTCAGCAGGATGTAGGAGGATCCCTCGGGAATAGCTGGAAGCCTTTCCCGGAGCCATCCAAGAAACGAGTACAGCCTTTAAATGGCAAAACCATCGAGCCCCAGCCCCAGCCCCAGCCCCAGTGCCAGCTCCATCCCCAGCCCAGCCCAGCCCCAGCCCCAGCCCAGCCCCATCCCCAGCCCCAGCCCAGCCCCAGCCCCAGCCCAGCCCCATCCCCAGCCCCAGCCCATTCCCAGCCCCAGCCCCATCCCCAGCCCCATCCCAGCCCCAGCCCATTCCCAGCCCAGCCCCATTCCCAGCCCCAGCCCCAGCCCCATCCCCATCCCCAGCCCCATCCCAGCCCCAGCCCCATCCCAGCCCCAGCCCCAGCCCCAGCCCCAGCCCAGCCCCAGCCTGCTGCTGCCATCAGGTGGGGAGCCATCCTCCAGCCCTGCTCCGACACTGCCAGAGCAGAAAATCATCCCCCAGGCACAGGGAAGGAGTTCTGCTCTGTTCTCAGAGCACTGTGGTACCAACACGGGAATGGACATCCCGAGATTCTGGTTGTCACGCTGTGATTGTGCATTTCTTTATGGGATCCAGCCAGGAAGCAGAGATCCAAACATTTCATTATCATCACTTCAATACCAGAAAATAACTAAGCAGAGCACTTGGCAATCCAAAAAAAAAAAAATATTAGAGTTGGTGAGAGAAAAGGGAAACATAAAGGCATGCTATAGATCACATGGATAGATGCAGAGAAACATTTTCATTTCTCAGTTCTCACTGGTAGTTGTCACAAACGGAACCTTTACAAGGGCAGGGAGATTTCCACAGACGAGGAAATCCTGTACAGAAACTCTCCATTTGCCCACAGCTGTTGGCAGCCACTTTGGAACAGGAGACGATTTCCTGTCATAACTACAAAAAGAGCTGTGTTACAGAGGGCATGGGGGCATTCCCAGGGCATTCCTCGGTGTAACATCCTCGTGGCTGTTGCTGTCCAGAGAGTGGGAACATTCTTATTTCATTTGGAACTTCCTCATCACACAGGCAGTGGTGTCCTGCCCTGCTGGAAGACCAGGGTGCTGTAGGTCACTTCATTCTGGGGATGGGAGAGAAGCCACAGACATTAGAGAGTGCACCAGCACTGCAGGTCAGCAGGAATTTCCCACTTGGACCTTGTCCTCAGCACCACACTCCATTAACAGCTGTCCCTGCTTGGGGGAAATTGGTAAATGCTGGTTCATCCCACTGGTCAGTCTGGCTCAGGGCTCTGGGTAAAGTCTCCTTTAGGAGCTTCCAAAGAATTAATATCACAGAGGAAAACTGCAGAAATGCTTTCCCTTTAAAAATATTTCTCCTAACCTGCCTTGTCAGTGGTTAAGCCCCAGAACCCCTGAAGTTGTCCAAAGAACTGCTGAGTAACAGCCGAGTGTCAAAGGTGACTTTTCTCCCTCCCACCCCAAATTAATATTTACCACACTGTCAAGAATGTCAACTATCTGCATAAAGCATTAGAAATGACAGTTGTGACACTTACCTGGGTGTTCCTAAGAGATTCCTCAGCTGTCATCTGGAATACAGTTTCCTCTTGTAAATTTTGGTGGGATCTTTTGGAACCTAGGAAGGAAAGGGATGCCAGTGGCAGGTGCTTGCACTGTGTTTGCAGCCAGCAATGCAAGGGGGGCTGCAGAGGGGTGACACGCAGCTGATGTGCAACCTCTGGCACAGCAAAGGGGCAGTTTGGGCTGCCCAGTCCCTGTCCACCTGCTGGAAGTGGCCAGCATGAATTCAGTGCAGCCAGGACTAGGATGAGAAAAGCCCACAACCAACAAAAACCCGCACAATTCATCAGTGGCACAGTTAATTCTTCCCTGAAAACGCTGCTGGGATGATCCACGAGGAGTTACTGCCAGGGACGAGCTGCTCACCAACACACAATTATCCACAGCAGACATTCTCTGAGCAACTCAGAACCTTCTGCAGTCACCATCCCTCTGCTGTTATACCCTTGACTGTGTCACTCACTTTTCCTGAAGAGGAAGATGATTGCAAAAACCAGGAGGGTCAGGAGGATGCCAGAGATGAAGGCCAGTGACATGTAGAGTATTTCATGGCTGTTGATACATAGGAAATCCTGTCAGAATCTCCAGTTTCAACAGAGGGACTGAAGCTTCAGTAGTGCTCAAATTCACCAAACTTTATGGAGTGTAATGTTTATCCCCAGCCCCATGAGATTAACATGTGTGTATCTGCATTGAGCATCTCTAGGAATCACCCACCCAGGGCACAGACCAGGCAATTCTAACCAAATTTTAACCCCCCAAGATGTTAAATATGTGATATAGAAGCCTTCCCTTGCAGAAGGAGGATGCAGTCTCAGGGAACTCTGGGTTTAAATCAGGAAATAAAGGTGCAGCATTTACTTAATATATAAATAAGTATTAATAAGTAATATATTTACTTATTAATCCAGCATCTGGCTTCTGCAGCTTTGAAATCATCTGTAGGGGTGTGGACGGTGGTAGGGACAGTGCTGGGGACAGTGGTAGTAGTAGAAACGGTTTTTGGTTCAACTGCAATAGAAAAAAAAACAATCACAAGCTTGTTTTAGAAGGTGCAAATTAAAAAACAATCACAAGCTTGTTTTAGCAGGTGCAAATTTCTCCTGCAGTACTACAACAACCAGGAGCACGGGGTGGGGGGGCTGTGTCTGTGCAGCCTGGCTGAAAGTGGAACCAGCAGACAGGACAATTCTGCTCTCAGAGGATGGCTGTGCCAGGCAGCCCCTGGCAGCTCCTCCCCAGCACCCCCAGAGCAGCCCTGGGCAGGACATCACCTCACTCAGCAACACTGCAGCTAAGGGAATTCCTTAAAAAACAAAGTACCTGGATCTGCTTTTGAGTAAAGGCCTCCCATTCTCTCACAGCACTAATTGACAGGAAGAGAAGCTGAAAGAAAGGGAAGGAGTTATATTTATATACACGTACACATAAGCAAAAAAAACTTGTTACCCTCTTCCAACTCAAAAGGCTCGATTTAGGTTTTATCCATTTGTTGGAAGTCTTTTATAGAAGTGTCACAAAGGCACTCAAAGCTGGCAGCTTTGCAGCACCAGCCCCTTCCCAGTGTCCTGTTCCTGAGCACACGAGTTCCCTGCTCCCTGAGGGGCATGGTGCCTTCTCCACCCAGAAAAGGAGGATATTTAATAACTAAAAAGCACCTACAGGATTGTTTTTGCAGCAGCTAAACCCCTATGAACATTTTCATAATCAGAAGCAGCTTTGAAAAGTTCCTCCCCTGAGGTTTTTGTTTAAGTTAAATTGACTTTTCCCAGCAAAATAGGAACAGTAACTTTCTTCTCCAATTTGTGTGCGGGATCTGAGAGATAGCGATTCTAAAAGATATTCCACCACAAAATCCCTACACTGGCATTTCTCACCACTTGCTTTGCAAACCGTGGATTGTGAACAATGTGAAAATATTACAGCATGAAAATAAATACCCTGTTCTGTGCTGCTGCCACTTTCCCTACTGCATCCCATTGTTGCCACATTCCAGAGGAGTCAAGCCACGAAACCTCCCAGTTTCCCACACCAAACCTCACGGGCTGCTGTTTGAGGTAAGAAACAAGAAATAATACAGTTCCATCTTACCTCCCACCATGGAAGTGCTGCTGGAAATCTCCCCAGGTGTCAGCACACCAGTTTAAGCACTTGCTTTGTGAGAACAATCTGTCACACCAGCTGAAAACTCAAATGTCAATCAAATGTGGGCTTTCACAATTGTGGAAGTTAAGCAACTTCAGTTTTTAAATTTAAATTGACAAAAAACAGGAAACCATGAAAGACACCTGCATTTTCTGGAACTGCTAGTCTAAAAAAAGTAAGGCAGCCCTAGTTAAGGTGGGCTTAAAGCAAGGTTCCTGCCTCTAGAAACAGCATTTTGGTGAGCTGAGGTACTGAAGTGTAAGAACACCCTACTGAGAAATGGGAGTGCAGGCACCCCCAGCCTGCCCACTTGGGTTTATGGACATAAATCACAGCACACACAGGAGGAGTTTATTTGTGTGCTTTGCTGGGGTTTTTAACAAATTCCTTCACAGAATAAAAAATCAAACAGAGTTCTGGAAGGGCAGAACTCCCCTGGAGTAAACGAACCCATTTCCCTGCTCAGGCTGAGTGCTGACACAAGCAGCTGAGGGAGTTTTCCAGGAGCTTGTGACGCATTTCCTGCCCAACCATTTTCCCCAGACCCAAACTCTTTCAACACTTGCCGAGGCTTTATGGTGAAAGGGGGATTCCAGCTCCTTTTAGAGAACAAGAACTTTCACCCAGAGCTCCTCCCAGCACGGGGCCAGGTCAGTGGCAGCACAAATCATTTTTAAGATGATTTTAGAACATGTGTACAAGGACAGCAGGTATCTGGGGCTGCTATCACTCAGAATTCTAACTCAGGGATCAGTTTCAGCACCAGGATTTTTCTCTGTGAAGTTCTGTATCTTTGGAAGTGCTCCTGACCAAACAGGGAATCCAACAGGATCTCACACACTGTGGTTCCAACTCGTCCCCCACCATAAACCAGCTGTAGTGGTTGGTGTGACCATCCAGTGACTTCAAACACAAACAGGCAGGGACTGTTGCTAGTAAAGACAGCAGAGGGTTTTTGTTTTGTCCGTTTAATGATATTTTAGAGTCACACAGTTTCCAAGAGGAGGTATTGGGACATGTCATGGCTCAGACTGCTCAAACAGCTGCGTGGGCACTCTTGGACAGCGCCTTCAGGTCCAGGATGCACTTGGCAATGCTTTCCTTCTGCTGCAAGAGACAGGAAACAGCCTTCAGGAGACATTTCAACAAGAAAACAGACACTTAAGTGCACTCTAGATAAACCTTTTCAGACCTGTAAGTTATCGAATAAGAGGGATGCAATCATAGCTCACAAAGCCAGAGATTCACATCCAACAAAGCACAGATTCCTGGAATCCCAGAAGGTTTGGGCTGGAAGGGAGCAAAGCTCATCCAGTCCCACCCCAGGCGAAGGTTACCCATCACCTCCTGAGTCAGGATCCCTGAAGAGCGAATGTTTGTGCAGGCTAAAACCTGAAGCAGGTAAAACCCAGCAAGCACCTGCTGAGGTGTGATGCTCTGAACGACGTTCCTCTCCACCCACTGGATCATGTGGTCCTGCTCCTTCTGCCGCTTCAGGGTCTGCATGGCCACCTGGTAGTCCAGCCTCTTCTTCACCTCGTTGTACACCATCAGCAGGCGCTCCCGGTAGTTGGCTTCCAGCAGCATGGCCACGTTGTTCTGCAGGGGAGCAGCAGACAGGAGGCTGGAGCCCGGCAGCAGCCCCTGCAGTGGCAGCAGTGGCAGCAGTGGCAGAGCCCAGCAGGGCAGGCTGCCCTGGCACTCGGCAGCGCTGATGCCGCCCCGCTCACCCGCTTGGCGTCGAAGAGGTAACTGCGCCCCTCCGCCCGCCACTGCTCCTTCTTCTCGTCCTCGATGGCCGTCTGCAGGCTCTGCACCGCCTCGTTCTTCATGGCCAGAGCTGTGGCCATCTTCTCCTGGGAGGAAAACAGACTCCACGCTTCAGGGTCAGGTGCAAGGAAAACAAGTGATCTGTACTCACCCTGAAACGCTGCACTGAGCTGTGAGAAACGTCAGTGCCAACTGCCCTGTGCCAGGGCTGAGGTGATGCCAGCAGACGGGAACGAGGGCTCACCACCAGCCATGCAATCCCAGACCGGTTTGGGTTGGAAGGGAACTTAAATCCCATCCAATCCCACCCCTGCCATGGCAGGGACACCTTCCACTGCCCCAGGCTGCTCCAGCCCCAGTGTCCAGCCTGGCCTTGGGCACTGCCAGGGATCCAGGGGCAGCCAGGGCTGCTCTGTGCCAGGGCTGCCCACCCTGCCAGGGAACAATTCCTGCCCAATATCCCATCCAGCCCTGCCCTCTGGCAGTGGAAGGCATCTGTACCTTAACAGAACCATTCCTTACTGAGGACTGCAAAGTCCAGCTGCAGTTTCCTCATTACCTCGTTAAGTTTGTCAGCAAAGGCTGCGACATCAGGGCCGAACTTCTTGATGGCATAAACAATGACAGTCAGGATGCAGGCAGCTGCTGCTGTCTCGTGGTTAACCACGTAGATCTCCTTGGAAAGAAGGTAGAGCAGGAGGCCAGTGCCCAGCATGTAGGGCCCTAGAGGAGAAATGAAGCAGTGTTACTTGGATACAGCACAACGAGGCTCAATAAACTCCGGTACCTAGGAGAGAGCTCCTTTAAAGGCTCCCAAAGTCAGGAAGAAGTGTTCTGTTTTACAGGACAAAAGGCAGAGCCACAATTCCACCTGGGAAAGGTGCCACAAGGAACCTCACTGCAAGTGGAAGCAGCTTGCACCTGACATGGGACCTGCTCCTTCTGCTCCTTCAGAAACATGCAGAATTTAAATTTTTTAAGGAGCAACGGGCAACTAAATTGTTCTACAAAATCAAGCTCATGGAATTCTTTCAATCATTAGCCAGGAGTCCTGCAGTAGCTTGTTCTTCACACCCTGCACATGCAAAATACTCATTTTCAGTAATATTTCACCTTTTCAGCAGCCAGAACTGGTGAACAGAACCATGTAGAAATAGCTTAAAATGGCAAACATCTGTATTAACCTGTGACTCCTGTTTTAGGGTAGAGAAACTGGAAAAACTCCTCAGGGATCAAACCATGACGAACTTCTCCTCCCTTCTCAGGCAGAGGTGGCACGGGAGCCAAGCTCTGCTGAGTTGTGTGCAGCGTCCTTGTGGTGTGCAACACCCTGTGAACAAGGAGAAGATTGCAGTTATGATTCTTAGTTAAAAAACAGACAGAAACAAACCAAGCAGACACCCCCAAACCACCCCTAGGTGAGGCTGAAGCACATTTCCAGCTCAGTAAGTCGGTCACACGGAGGGCACAAGGTGCCCATCGCTGCAGAGTCCAAGCCGGGCTGGCCCCGCTCTGTGGCAGCGTCCCGGGCAGGGCAGGCGGCGGAATTGGGTGAGCTCCGAGTCCTTCGGGCCCGATCCGAAGGTGGCACCGGGCGGACACACCTCCTCCGGGAAGGGGTGGGACCAGATAACCTCCAGAGGCTCCTTCCCATCGCTCCGCAGCCCCAGTGAGAAACACGCCAGACAAACCCCCCAATACTGCTGTTCAAGCACAAACCGCCCGCTGCCCGAGGGGCGGCCCCGGTACTCACCCCACGGCGACGGGCGGCGGCAGCGCCCTGAGCGCGGCGGGGGCTGGGGGGACAAGAGAGGGCAGAGAGCGTCAGGGCAGGGCCCGGCCGGCACCGCCACCCGCCGCCCGCTGCCCCGGGGCTCACCGGCGCGCAGGACCAGGCGGGACAGCATGGTGGGGCCGGAGGGGCGGCGGGGCCCTGAGGAGCGGCGGAGCTCTGAGTGAGGAGCGGCGGGGCCCTGAGGAGCGGCGGAGCTCTGAGTGAGGAGCGGGGCCCTGAGGAGCGGCGGGGCCCTGAGGAGCGGCGGGGCCCTGAGGAGCGGCGGGGTCGTGCGGAGCTCTGAGGAGCTCTGAGCGAGGAGCGGGGCCCTCAGGAGCGCTGAGCGAGGAGCGGCGCCCTCAGGACCGGCGTTGCCGAGCTCGCCCCGCCGGTGACCGCGGCTGCCGCCGGGCGCTGAGATGGCGGCGCGGCTCTCGCGAGAGCGCCCGCCCCGCGCCCGCCTGGGCTGAGCGAGCTCTCGCGAGAGGAGGCGGCGGTACCGGAGGCACGTGGGGGCGCCGCGGGCCCCGCCGCCACCGCCATGGAGGAGCCGCCGCCGCCGCCGCCGCCGCCGCCGCCGCCGCCTCAGGCGGCCCCGCCGCCCGCCCCGCCCGACAGCGCCGCGCCCGCCGCCTCGCTGGATGGGGACCCCGCGGCCGAGGCCGCCGCCGAGTGGAACATCCCGCCCAGCGCGCCCGCCTGCATGGAGCGGCACCTGGAGCGCGCGCACTACCGCGCAGGTAGCGGGGCCCGGCGGGCCCGGGGCGCTCCCGGAGGCTCCACGGTGCGCTCCCCGGGGCTCCCTCAGCCGCTCCCCGGTGCGCTCCCTGAGCCGCTCCCCGGGGCTCCCTCAGCCGCTCCCCGAGCCGCTCCCCGGGGCTCCCTCAGCCGTTCCCCCGGCCCTGCCCGCCCGTCTCCCCGCGCCTCCCCTCGTGTCTCTCCCGCAGACGGGGTCCTGCTGCTGGCCGCCTCCGGGCTGAACGGGCGCTGCTGGACCGGCTCGCTGTGGGTGTTCGCCGAGCCCCGCCGCGCCCCCAGCGAGGGCTTCTGCACCGCGGGCGTGCAGACCGAGGCGGGGGTCGCCGACCTGTGCTGGCTGGCCGACCGGGGCATCCTGGTGGCCTCCGACTCCGGTAAGCCGTGGGGATGCTCTGTCCTTCGCCGGGGTGCAGCTGTCCCCTGTGCCCTCTGCTGAGCTGGGTGTCCCCCCAGCCCCTGCCTGGGTGGGTGTCCCTGGCACTGAGCTGGGTGTCCCCCCAGCCCCTGCCTGGGTGGGGGTCCCTGGCACTGAGCTGGGTGTCCCCCCAGCCCCTGCCTGGGTGGGGGTCCCTGGCACTGAGCTGGGTGTCCCCCCAGCCCCTGCCTGGGTGGGGGTCCCTGGCACTGAGCTGGGTGTCCCCCCAGCCCCTGCCTGGGTGGGGGTCCCTGGCACTGAGCTGGGTGTCCCCCTGCCACCCCCAGGTGCGGTGGAGCTGTGGGAGCTGGAGGAGAACGAGAGCCTCATCGTGAACAAGTTCTGTAAATACGAGCACGACGACATCGTGACCTCGGTGTCGGTGCTGGCCGGCAGCAGCCAGGCTGTCAGCGGGGGCAGGGATTTCTGGTGAGTGTGCCCAGCCTGGCAGCCGTGTGCCCGGGCTGTGCTGGGCGCTCACTGCTCGCTCTTGTCCACAGCGTCAAGGTCTGGGACATCCCGGAGCAAACGGTGCTGCACTCCTACAGAGGTGAGTGCCAGCCCAGCCCTCTCTCTCCTTCTTACATCCCCTTGACATCCCACTTGGAGCTTTTCCCTGACCCCTTGTCTGGCTCCCTCGAGCTCAGGGCTGGCACAAGCACTGTGGCCATGGTTGGAGTGGGCAGCTCATCGCTGTGGTAGGAGGCAGTTGGCAGCAGCTATCCCGTGTCTGGGCATAACTGTTAAACTGCTGTGCCTCTGGAGGGCCTTGGGAATATGTGGGAAAGTCGGATACCATCTTTGAGGTTCTTTATCCTTTTGTGCTTTTGGTAGCTCACTCCGATGCAGTGACATGTGTGGCTTCCTGTCCTGGTAAGGACACTGTGTTCCTGTCCTGTGCTGAGGTAAAGCTCACTCTATTGTCTAAATCTACCCCATTTAAAGGAGATTTAACTTTAGGCATTTACAGTTCAATGCACTTAGAAACCATCTCTTGTGTAACCTGCCTACCTGTGTTATTGCAGTGTTCCAGTCTGATAATTTATAATCGGTTTGCCAAGCTGATTCCTACAGGTTTGTATTGAATTTTGGGAGCTCCTAGGTCTGTCCTGAGGATGACTGAAGGCTGCACTTGGTGACAGCATAATTTTATCCCAGAGGAAAACATAGGGTCATTTTGCGTGTGAGTCAGCAGTGAATCTGAATTTATGCCACAAAGAAATTGTAAAACTTCTCTCGTTCCTTTTGGATTTATAGGACAACAGAATTTTACTCTGGGACACCAGATGCCCCAAACCAGCTACTCGAATTGGTATGTCTCTGTGGTCACTGGGAAATAAATTATTTTATGCCTGACTTCTAACTCCAAATCTAGTGATGTGCCTGTTAAAAGTTAAGGAGGTATAATGCTGTCACAAAAGTACAATAAGCTTAAAACACTTGTCTTGCTGCAGTAGCAGTGCTCAGTGAGACAGATGAGGAATATCTTTGTGCTGCCTCCTTCCACACTCACCCAGTTTCTCCCCTCACAGTTTGCAGTGCCTGTAATTACCTCCCTACCTCAGTCATGTGGCATCCACAGAAAAGTGACATCTTTGTCTTGGGTAAGAACCGTCACTCTCACCAGGCCAATGGAGGTGGCTGCTTTCACAGGACAGTTTTTCCTGTAACTTGGGTGCCCCTCTCTCCCAGGCGATGAAAGTGGAACAGTTGCACTGGTGGACACAAAGAATCCTGACTCTGCCCTCAGCGCTGCCGTGCACACCCGAGGCATCACAGGCTTTGCTTTCTCTGCACACAGGTACGGAGTGATTCTGGCACAGAGCGTGGCACTGCATCCCCTTAAACGCCGTGGTTATTTTTGAGTAAAACTTATGAGAGTGCCAGTTTTGGTCTTCTCATCAAGGAGATTGTAGCAGAGAATAGAATAAACCAAGCAACGTCTCACGTCTGACATGTGAATGTCCACAACAAGAATTCTGCAGCTCCAGAATAACTGCCCCACACACTGTGGGGATTTTTCTAATTACAGTCACCTCTTATTAAAGAAGGATAATTTGTTTTCTGGCTCTAATTGAGTATTCCCCACTCAGTGGACTGGCACCCTGCCAAATGCTGGTGAAAACATTTTTGTAAGACTTTTGTGAGTTCATCCAGAACCTCAGTCTGGATCACTAGGTGTCCTGCTGTTCACAAGTATATCCCTAAAAATTCTTGTATTTGCATATTCTAACTGTGCTCTCATCTCACTCTAGCTCACCCTTACTGGCTTCCATCAGTGAAGACTGTTCAGTTGCTGTTCTTGACTCAGACCTCTCAGAGGTGTAAGTACAGACAGAATCCTCACTGCTGTTGTCTTCTCGTCTTCTCGAGTTCATTATTAATGCACAGGATGGTTTGGGGTGGAAGGGACCTTAGAGATCATTCATCCCACCCCCTGCCACAGGCAGGCTGCTCCAAGCCCCATCTAGCCTGGCCTTGGACACTCCCAGGGCTGGGGCAGCCACAGCTGCTCTGGGCAACCTGGAGGAGAAAATGTTCCTAAACAGAGGAGCATCGTCCTGACAACCCAGCAGTTAGGGACTGAACAAGGCCACATAGTCTCTAATGATGGCTCATGTTGATGTTTTCCAGGTTCAGAAGTCATTCTCATCGGGACTTTGTAAAAGGCTTGTCCTGGTCTCCCTCAGATGATGCCTTGCTCACGACAGTTGGATGGGATCATCAGGTTTTACATCACACTGTCCCCCTACCAGCTGGTGAAGCTTCTGGAATCAACTGTGTAAAAGAATAGTTTTATAAAATCGTGGTCCAAGTTCCTTGCTGGCATCACTTTGATTCTGCTGAAGTCGCAGGTGTGTGAGCTGGAGTGGGGTCTGTTGTCTGCCTCCAAGCTTGTGGCTAGGAAGGGTCCTGTAGTAATTTTGAATTAGGCATAAGTTAGTTACAAACCAAGCTTCATCTCCTCAGGAGTGGCTTCTCCTGTAATAAAAGACTTTGGTTTTACTCAGAAAAAAAGTGACTTCAGGCACAGAGGAGACTTGGAGAGACAGGGAATTAGGTGTAATGAAAAAAGAAATAAAGTCCAAAAGACTTGATTCTTTCCTGAGTTCTCCAGACTACCCATGGAATTCATAGAAGCTTTTGGGGGAGGTTAGCAGCATGCCTCTTGTTGGGTAGATATGAGAGCCTCACCCTTGAGGGAAGTTCTTTGCTCTGTGAATCAGATGGAATGAAAAGCCCTGCTGGGATTTGGGGGCTGGAAGGGTTCCAGGTTGTCCTTAAAGCAGCACTGGCTGGTTGGGAGGGTTCAGCAGCAGTGAGGAGCACTGGTGAGCACTGGTGAGCACTGGTGAGCAATAGCAGCGTTTGGTGCCAGCTGTAGGGCGAGGAGCCCAGCTGGAGCCCTGCAGTTATCACCTCTGGGATGGTGCTGGGATCCTGGCGTGCCAGGGGGCACTGGCAGCAGAAGGGAGCGGTGCTGGGCTCTGACACCACGGTCTGTCTCCTCTGTGCTGAAGGCAGCTTACTGGAGGATAAGACCTGTGAACAGAAGGTTTATGTGGGGGGAAAACTGGACTAAGGACTTCAGTTGTCATTGCTTGCTCCTGTAGCAGACTCTGCTTAGTGATAACCCAGATCCCTGCACTTGTGACAAGTGACTTCTTGTGCTGGCTCTGAGGGGACAGCCCATTGCCCTGCCCCAGACCAGACTGCACACAACCTGTAGAGAACATACATTTCTAACTCAGCTGTTTACCTGGAGAAAGTCACTGCTCTGCATGCATTGCTGCTGCTCTAGGTATGGCTTGGTCTGGCCTAGTATGTCCTAGACAGAATTAAGCAAGTCCTGACTGATGAAACAAAAATACAGTTGAAATGAATGTAACCCCGGTTCTTTAGCATGATAGCAGCACCTAAATGTACACTGCTTCCAGGTTCTATCTCTGCATACACATAGGTTTAGTTGTGCAAAGCCCACAGTTAATTTTTCATCAGACTAAGCTTTCCCAGGCTCTGTACTTTTCTCATACTCTTTGTAAACCTCACTTGCTGCTTTTTAAATTCCTGTGTCGTACAGGTGTTCACAGCAACTTCCTGTTCTAGAGCAGTGTATGACAAGAAACAGTAAATTATGATAAAAACTGGCACATTTCCTCAGAAATACCCCATAACCACCAAGTCCCCTGCTGGGGACCTGTGATGCTGTACTGGAACAGGTCTTGGGCTGGTTCTGAAGAAGTTGTCTTGGAAGATGGTTTTAATTTGTAACTGGGTTTAAGTTCCACTGGGCCACTTCTGTAGCGCTGAAGAGCCAGCTGAGATCATCCACACAGCTCAAGTTGTGCTTTCAGTCCCTGATATTAAAACTGTTCTTAAATAAATGTTCACCGTATTCCTGTTCAATGCCAGGGGACTACAGTTCTTCAGCAGTGGTGCAAGGCAGGCTCTGGCTCCTGCTTTTCAGGAAGTTTTTCTTTCCAGAACTCTGAACTTGGGGTTCCATTGTGCCCAGCTAAAAACAAAAGTTCAATGTCAGACATTAGGTTCCTCATATTGCCGCTCCTGAGCAAAACTCAACAGTCCGTGGCAAAAGACTCGTGGTGGGTGCTGAAGCCTGTAGGGAGAGCAGGTCATTAGTGCTATATTAACTCTTTCACAATTAAACACCAAACAACTCTCGGTGCTTCAGCATCTGGCAGGTGTGTGTGGTGCCACGGGATGGCAGCAGCTGCCCTGGAGAAGGGCAGGGCAGCACGGCCGCAGCTCTGCGCGCTGCCTGAAGGAGGTGTCGAGCACTTCTGGGTGTCTAGCACTTGCCCTTGGGGTTTTTCACTCGTGAGCACGGAGGAGCAGCAGCTCAGGAGTCACTCCTGGGCTGTGGTGGCAGTGCTGGCACGGCTGCAGTGCAGTCACGGGCAGTGCAGCAGAACAGCAGCGATCCCAAGCAGCCCTTGCTGGCTCTGAGCTGCCCCCAAGGACTGGAGGGGATGAATGCTGTGGGGTTTGTGGCTTGCAGCTGTCCCTGCACCACGCACCGTCCAGGGACACTCGGGTACATCCACTGTGGCTCCAGCGAAAGCTCCAGCACACATTGCCCCTGTCCCTCCTCACAGAGCCTGCTTCTGTAGGCAGAGCTGGATGGAGATGAGGACACAAACAGTTCACTTGTGAGTGCAGAGGAGCAGCCACGCTGCAGACAAGCCTTTTGTGTTGCTGCTTGCATTGCTCACACCGTGTTTGCAGTTTTGGGCACAGCGTTCGAGTTGGGACTTGTACGAGAGTTTCGTCCCTGATGAGCAGCTCCAGCCCAAGGACTATTTATAGAGACAGCTCCTCTGCCAGCCTGCCCAACCAGCTGGGTGTGAGTGACAGAGCTGTGACTGGGCTCCTAAAAACACTGAAATGGCCACAGGCTTTGGATCAACCGCTCAGAGAAACTGGACCGAGCCCTGGGTAAGCTGAAACTCAAACCTTGCTGAGCTATGTTTCCCCATCCTTTCAGGGATGTGCAAACTTCCCACTCCATCAGACAGACCATGGAAGCAACACTAAAAAAAGTCAGATCACACAGGTAATAAAACATCCAGAAATGTTTAATGCAAGAAGGTTGGTGTTCATTGGCACTCATAAATAAGAGACTTTGTTCAGTACTTCACAGCTAAAGCCCTGTTACACTCCCCAAGCAGGAACTTGTGAGAAGAGGCAGCTGCAGGGGATAATTTCAGTTGTATCACGACTTGAATTACCACCCTGCATCAGAGAGGGTGAAGTGAGAATAATCCTACACTCAGGCTTGCTTCGGGATTGCTCTCAGCACTGGGCGGAGGCAGGTGCTTTGCTCCATTAATACCCCCTGGTTTTGTTTCTTACTCTGTTGCTAAATTTCTGTAGTGAAAGAGCTGGGAGGAGCAGGAGCAGGAATGGGAGGACAGTTTACCCAGTACCTGACGCAGTTACCTGTCCCAGGAGGAGGGGCTCGTTCCCATCCCTGCAGTCCTCACTCCTCAGAGATCTAACTCTGTCCCCAAGTGCTTTGGCTGCCAGCAGCTCTGACAGTGGCTCCTTTGTCACAATGGCCCCAGAATCAATGCTGGGCTGTTCCTGAAATACCAGAATTTGCTGAATGCATTCAAAAGAAGCAGGGATAGTCCAAAGAGTTTGAAGAACAGAAGAGCCCCACCGCTGAAAACCTGCATGCTAACCAGTCCTACAACTGGGAGCAGTCCAACCTGATTTACTGACAGCTCAGTCCCCCGTGCAGTCCCTGAATGGTGTTCTTGAATGAAGAGTGGCTATTTTATAAAGCTCACTTATATTATCACACTTCTACTACTAAATTAAAACAGCTATGTCTGCTAGCAATGAGACACTCTACGTGTCTAAGACCATATTTCACCTACACATGAATCCTGTGTCTGGGTGAAGGAGTAAATGTGACATTTAAAGCAGGTACCAACATTGGAGTGTCACATTTTTCTCTAAAAAGAACAAAAACTTGTGCTGGGGAGATTGCAATTTGGAAGAATTCTTGAGGTGGAACATTGCACATACCCCCCTGCCCTCCCCACTTCTGGGCAAAGTCAGTATCAAAAGCTGAAATTGCCCACCCAGCCTTAAAATTGTTTCTGAGAGCTCATTTGCAAATATAGCTTATCATTTAAAGAAAAAAAAAAAAAGTATTAGAAAGAAAAAACCATGAAGTTGCAACATTATCAAAGAGACTTCTTTGTTTGCCTTCAAGTTAAACTGGTGAAACTTCATCCAATACCAAAACATGACCATAAAGCTCCTCAAGGAGGATCTTGGATTTACTTCTACAGCTGAATAAGAGTGCTCAAGGTGTTCCTTGCACGGAGAAAATTCCATATTTTAGAGCAGGTGGTATTCCACATGACACTTGGCACACTTAAATGTCCTTATAGTTACTCCATAGTCACTTTTGTCCATAAATATTTTTTTAAAACCAACACCCAGATATTAAAAGCCTATTATTTCAGTACTGGCTGGGGTGAGCAATGGAAATCTTCTAAGTCACTGTGACTTGCTGGCATAAAAATGCCCTTTGAATTAGCTATTAGTCTGATTATTGTATTTGCATTTTAATTTTATTCACAGCAAAGTGAAGTTCAGAATACTTTAAAGCTGCTGCAATATCTGAGAGGGCTGTTAAATTATTAGGTAAAGCTGGAAATAACACAAAACATAGAATGTCAATGACATGACTCGAATATCAAGATAACTTTTGAGAATTCCACTGGGAAAGAAAATTTATCCCTGATTTTGAGCTGAATTGTAGCGCAAGAGGCACTTGCAGGCCACATCCAGGTGTGTGCCAGGCAGGGTAAGCTGGAGTGGAACCAGTGGTACTTGTAGCATTGAAAATAGAAAGTGCTTTCCATAAAAACAGACTCATGTCTCAAAGTGCTTTTAGTTTATCTGTGATAAGAAACAATTCTCTACAAGTTTTTACAGTTATCTTACAGTGATTTTCAGCAGGTTTACCTAGGAGGAAGAGTCTCTGTTTCTAGTTTCAGCAAGCTGGCTATTCCCAGCTCAGGTCAGCTGTGTGAGGCTGCTCAGTCTGGAAGCTGAAGCCCCCCTGAAGGCAGCTCCAGCTCCCAGCCCTGCACGGCACCAGCGGGGAGCAGGGGCTGATCTGCCCCAGCAGCACCCCGAAAAGCACCGAGGGAAGGAGCGGGAGCCAGCTCCCCCCGGGGTGTCCCTGCTGACACCCCACACCCCACAGATAAACACAGTCACACTGAAATTCAGCTCCTCGCTCCCCAGACCGGGCACGTGGAAGCCGAGTCTCAGTGGAACAGTTAGCAAGGACACTTTGGGGTCACACGGGTGTGAAGTGGCAAGAGAACCCTCAGGGAGAGCACCTGGGCGAGTCGCTGGCACCCGCCAGCCCAAGGAAAAGGATTGCTCCGTGTCCTACATCTCCAAACTGCGTTTCAGCCTTCCAGCCAGGCCTCACAGCCTCCTTCCTCTAGGAATAATTACCAACAGAAACATTTACAGTGGCCAAAAGGCACAGCAAAGCAAGGCCCCTGCTCCCGAAGCTGCTCCTGCATGAGGGGCAGAGCCCGGCCCGGCAGGACAGGCACTGACTGCTCAGAGCTGCGTTTAAGGCAGAAATTATTTGCTCCAAACTCTTGATAGACAGCAAGGGTCAGGATCTAGGCATCCTAAACTCTCCTCCTATCCCACTGGCCTCACATTCTTATTTTAATCCCTGACATTTATCTACACACTGCTTTGCTTCCATTCTGCACATCTCTCAGTTGGTTTCTCCCTGCTCCCAAACATGGTGGAGTTAAACCAATTAAAAAACAAACCGAAATCAATCTTTCCAGTGGTGATGCTCTTTAGAGAGAGTTGAGGATGCTCTTTGGCTTTTCTAGACAGCCTATCAGGCTGCAATTGTGAAAATAACCCAGGAGGGACAATGGGAAAGAGGGAAATCACGTTTGCTCACGTAACGAGGCAGCAGTCCGCCCTCCGCAGTAACAACTCTCCATGGCAGTCTTTTGAGAAAAGTCCAGGCTCAGGCTCGTTCCCCACCTTCTCCGTCAGCAGCTTGGAGCAAGTGCATTTTCAGGCTGGCTTGGGGCCGTCCCTGGTGCCCGCGGAGAGGGAAAGGACCAAGCCAGGCACCTTCTCGCCCCTTCGCGGCCGCGGAGCCGCCATGGCCCGGCCTACCGGTGGCTCTGGTGGGCGTAGGAGATGGGCTGGCGCGTGCCCGGCCGGACCGTGAAGGTGTTGGAGGGTCCCCCGTAGTGCGAGGTGCCGTGGGCAGGCCTGCAGGGAGAACAGAGGGGCGGTCACCCCGCGCCAGCCCAGGCACACCTCAGCACACCTCAGCACCACGGTGAGGGATTTCACTGTTCCGGTGAGGGATTTCACCGCTCCAGTGAGGGATTTCACCGCTCCGGTGAGGGATTTCACCGCTCCGGTGAGGGATTTCACCGCTCCGGTGAGGGATTTCACCGCTCCGGTGAGGGATTTCACCGCTCCCCAGGGAGGTGGGGAGGGATGTGGGCACTGGGGCCACAGCTGGCACCAGGGAGGAGCCGTGAACGATCACTGCCCTCGAGCAGCAGCCGGGAGCGAGCCCGAGCCAAGGGGCAGCGCCTTCCCTGGCACTCCCAGTTCTGCGGGACACGGAGGACAGGGAGGGGTGGGCTCGGGGGGCACGTACCTGCTGGCTGTCAGCACACTGGCGGGTGAGAAGTCCCCGTTCTGCCCCTTGAACTTGGCCTCGGCCGCGGTGCCGCCGTACGCCGTGGGTTTCCCAGCCGCGTCCGTGGACACCCGCCGGCCCTGGGCGCTCGAGGGGCCGTTCCTGTGGGGAGGGCCCAGGCGGCGAGACCCCTCCCCGGGCGTGGAGCTGAACCCCCCGGGGCCGTAGGAGGAGAGGGTGCCCGAGGCCCGGGGGGCTGCGGCTGCCCGGGGGTAGGAGCTGTCGGGCTCCGACATGTACAGGCGCTTCTTGATCAGCGGGCGCGGGTTGGGGCCGTGGCTGGGGAAACTGGTGGAGCTGCTGTAAGCCGGGTACTGGGGTGTGAAGTCGCCGTTCCTCCAGCTCTTCTCCGAGGGCAGCGGAGCTGCTGGCTCCTGGCTGCCCCCGTAGCTGCGGCTGTAGCCAGCCCACCTGTAATAGCGCGGCTCTCCTGAGCCCCGGCTGCTGTCAGGGACGCTGGGGCACTTGCGGCTCTCCTCCCGACTGGGGAGGGGACCCTCGTCCGCCTCGTTGCTGAATTCGGGGGGTGGGGGGATGATGCCGAAGTCCAGCGCCGCGTCCCCGTTCTCCTCCTCGCTGGGTGTTCCGTGCTGGGCCGGGCCGGGCCGGCTCGGCTGCCCCGAGTCCAGCAGGCCCCGGAGCAGGCTGGAGGCCGCGGCTCGCCGGGGCCCGGGGGGCTGCGCCTGGCCCGCCGCCCGCGCGTCCCGGCCCTGCTCCGAGGAACTGGAGAAGGACGGGGCTTTGCTCCCGCTGCAGCCCAGAGACGGCCGAGGCACCACAGTGAAGGAGAAGGGCTTGGACTCGTGGCGGAAGAAGCTGGGGGAGGTGGTGTCCGAAGAGGCACTGCCGAGTCTCAGGGCTGGCTTCGCCCTGAGCGCGGCCGCCCCATCCCCACCCTGGCGGCCGCGCTGGGCACGCTGACGGGCCGCCAGCAGCAGAGCCATGGGGGAGCCGCGCTCCACGCGCTCCCCCGTCACCGGGTGGATCAGCACCTCCTCCTGCCCCGCTCCCGAGGTGTCCGGGGGGCTCCTGCCCGAGCTCCCGGGGCAGGGCGGCTCGGCTGGGCCCGGGGCACAGGGCGGCTTGGCCGAGCCCGGGGCACAGGGAGGCTCGGCCGAGCCCGGGGCACAGGGCGGCTCGGCCGAGCTGGCCCCTGCCCGGTGCACTTTGTACTGGAAGACGGCCGAGCTGGGCTGTGGTGCCGGGCTCTGTGCAGGGGACACAGGGGCTGAGGAGGGGCTGGGAGCTGGGGGCTCCTCTGCCGGTCCCTGGGGTGGCTCTGGGGGATTCACGCTGCTGTTGAGGGACCCAGGAGCAGGGCTCACATCCTCTGTGTCCTTGGCAGCAGCAGGAGCAGGATGCTCCTCGTGATTTGTCTCATCCTTCTCCACAGCAGCCGCTGGGGCTGGGAGCGGGCTGGGCACTGGTTTTGGCACCACTGGGTCACTCGTGCCAGGAGGGCTCTTCCTCAGGTCAGGGGGGCTCTTCCTCACCTGTGGGGTGCTGATGCCATTCTCCACACCCTGCTTCTGGCTGCTGAGCCCTGGGGCAGGTTTCCCCTCTTTCTTCAGGGACAGCACAGCCTCCAGCTCGTTCCTGATCGTCATCACACTGCGGGGCTGTGTGTCAGGGTTGCTCTCCGGGGCAGTGACTGCAGTGCTGGGAGAGCCCCCAGTGGTGCTGGGGGGGCTGCTGGGCGCCTCTTTCTTCTCACTCTCCCCTCCCTTGGATAACCCCGTGTCCTTCCTGGCGGGCTGGGGCTCGCTGAGCGCCGGCTCACGGCTGCCAGCGCGGCTGGGACCGCTGTCCACGGGCCGGGGAGCGCCTGGCCTCTCCAGCGGCCTCTCCTCCCGGCGTGGGGAGCGCAGCAGGGCCGAGAGCTCGTCCCGCAGCTTGTTCAGGTTGTTGGCATCCTTCCAGTCATCGTCCTTCCAGTCATCCTCGCAGGTCGGGTAGTCCGGAGGAGGGAGATCCAGGTCGTTCGCAGTGAGGGGTTCTGATTTCGGAGGGGAGTCTCTCCCGGCTGTTTTCAGCTGGGGAATCTTCTCCCCCTCGGAGCCCGGCAGAGGGGACCGGCGCCCGGTGGGAGTCACCCCTTGGCCGAGCCCCGGGCCCGGCTTGGGGCTCAGCGGAGGGGGCACAGGCGGCTTCCCAGCGCCCTGTCTGAGCCCAGAACCCCTCTGCTCGCCGTCTCCCGGCCGCGTCTTGCCCGCGGCTCGGATGGTGAAGCAGGGTGGCAGGGGCGGCCGGGCGTGAGGCTGCCTGGGCACGGGCTCCCGCTGGCCACGCTGGCCCTCCTGCACCGGGATGGACGAGGAGCGCGCCGGGGCCGGCGGCGGCACCTTGAAGGACCTGGGGAAGGTGAGGTGCGGCTCGGGCTTGGGCTGCAGGCTCTCCTTGGGGCTGGGGGCTGCGGGCGCCCCGGCCTCGGCGGGGCACAGCGGCCCCTCGGCCTCCGCCTGCCGCGTGTTCAGCACCGTCTCCGACTTCCACTTGGACAGGCCGGGGCCGAAGGGGTCGCAGGCGCCCGGCGGGGCTGGCGGGATGAAATCTGGAGGAGCCGGAGTGCTGGGGGAGGGCAGCGCAGAGGCGGGAGGCGGCGGGGCTGCCGTGGCAGGAGGCGGTGGCACCATCTCGGGGGGCAGCGGCGGTGGCACCATCTCCGGTGGCAGTGGCGGTGGTGGTGGCACTATCTCCGGTGGCAGTGGTGGCGGCGGTGGCAGCATTTCGGGGGGTGGAGGGACCGGCGAGGCCAGAGGGGGTGACACAGGTGCCGGAGGGGGTGGAGGGGGTACTGATGGCGGTGGGGGGATGTCTTCATCCAGGTCATCCCCATCGAGGGCCTGCGGGCGCAGGTCCCCCGCCGAGCTGTACATCCGAGAGTTGCCATTGAGCTGGGAGCCAGAGCCTGCAAGATCAGCGAGAGCACAGCCGGTGAGACCTCTCCATCAGTGCTGAGCCAGCCTGGCCTGTGCCCAGCGTGCCAGCCCCTCGCCAGCCTTGTCTAAAACTTCCTGAACTGTAACAGCCACTCTGCCTCACCCCTTAGGAATTAATTAATTTTCAATGACTTCAAAAAATAATTAATAACAGACTCTGTTTCAGCATGAAAATAGATGAGCAGACTTTCTGCTCTGGAGCAGGGAACACACACACTTCCTGCACAGAGAACATCCCTTACCAAGAGCTGCCTTTTCCACAAAGTCTTCTGGCACCGACGGCGTTGGCACAGCCACCCCATGGGATTCTTGGGCGTTCTGCAGGAGTTGAGAAAACAGAGCTGTCAGTCTTACAGCCAGGATCAGAGCAAAGGGCTGACAAGCAGCGGGTAATTTGTCCACACAAGCCCTGATGGGATCCAGGGCAGTGTTGGTGATATGGAGGTCCCTGTGGAAGCCACTGCTGACAGGGTTTGAGGGGATGAGTGAAGTGATCAAGGCTGCACAGGCCATGGACACAATTCCCAATGGTCAGGAGCAAGGGCTGGAGAGAAATTCAGATATTTCACACCCCCCTGGGGCTGCCCAGCACTGCTCGCAGTGCCCTGAGCAGCTCCCCCGGGATCGGTGGGTGCCCTGGTGGGTATTTCTCTGCAGCAAGCACTGCCACAGCCACGCACACACAGACCTCCAGCCTCTGGGGAAACTGGCCCCAGCATCTCTGAGCAAACTGCTCCTTGTGTGGTTTGTGTTTTGCTGGCAATTGCTCCCTCCGCGTTCACGCTGAGAACTCAGCAGTGCCTTTGGCTGGTGCAGGACCGGCAGTTTGGCAGCCTGCACATCTGGGGGGTGCCCGCAGGGAGGGCACAGCGGGTGACTGCAGCCGCCCGGTGGGACACTGGGGCAGGCTGCCTCACTCACCGGCAGCAGAAGCCTCTCCTGCCCCTGACTCACGGCCGGGGCGGCTCGGGGACTGTCAGAGGGGTACGGAGCTCCGAGGGAGCATCCAGCCAGGGACACGCCACGGGCAGTGCTCAGGGACACACAGTCCCACTCCCAGGCTCCATATCCACCCCGCTGCTCACCCCAGGCAGCTGTTTGCGCTGCCAACAGCCCTCGACAAAGGAAATGCCACCCTGCCATCAGCCTGCGCCTCTCCCCAGCCATTTCCTGCACACTAAAGCCTGGATGGTGGCTGAGCCCCTGCCCTTTGCCTTTCTCTGCCGTTATCACCACTTTTACATCAGACTGCCTCGGGATTCCAAAGTCTCCTGGATCAAAGGTCAGTTGGATTTGTCCATCAGCCCCATCCAGGCTCAGACACATCCCAGTCACACTGCCCTGGCTGGGGGGCTCCACAGCTGCTGGGGCAGAGCTGATTCAACAGCAGCACCTGGGCGCCTGTGGAAGAGCCCTGGGATGCCCCAGCTTTGGCCAAAATAACAGGAAAATGCACATATTTCACTTGCTACATTCATTACCCTGCAGATGACCAAAGATCCCCTATAAGCACGAGGGAATGAGGCAGTTACAGGTGACACAGGAGTGAGGGAATTCATACCCCTGGCATTGCACAAAGGACCAGACAACTCCGTGCTGATGGAGAAGCCAAGGGCTGCAAAGGCGTGAGGGCAGACCCTGAGCTTCACCTGAGAGCCAGAGGGAAGACAAAGGCCAAGAGAGGCACTTGAAGAGCTGGTAGTTAAATTGTCCAGAGCAATGAGCACCAAAATCACACAGAACAAACCGCGGCAGTTCCCATTTGCCGTGGAAATCCATTGCTGCAGGTTTGCCCCAGGGCAGCTGCTGGTTTGCAGGGGAACAGAGATGTCTGAGCTCTGCAGCATGTTCATCACCTCTTTGGAGCAGTGCAAAGGGACTGGCAGTCAGAAGAGAGCAGTGCAAAGCTGCAGGACACAGCCGCACTTCATAAAGGAGCAGGAATTTTGGATGTGTCATTTCAAACTGGGCAAGCCTGTTCATCACCAAAACCTTCTGTGGCAGTTACTAATGCTCAGCATCTCTTCAAAACCACCCATGCCCACGTCATGAGCTGGCTTCTAAAATGGAAAGCATCCCCAGCACGCTGCCAGTCTGCAGAGATGGTTGGGCAGATTGTTGCCGGTGTTTGCACTTGCTCGGGTGTGGCCAGCCCAGAAAACCTCCAGCTGATTCAGGGCAGGCTCTGGGTGCTGTGCCAGGAACCTGCATTTCCAGTTTGTGGTACCTGAATCAGATTCGTGCCTGCTGAGGATCCCGAGGGGGGAAGCTTTCACTGTAACCACCAGGAATCACTTTTCATCCCTGGAACAGAGTCAGACGTCCCCAGTGGAGGCAGCCTGCCCGTCCCCAGCTCCCACCCATTCAATGGCCAAGGTTTGAGGCTGCCCGCTACAAAAGCCACCCCAAAACACAACTGCTGAGCACCCTGGGGTCCCAGAGAGGCTGGGAATATCTCTGAGGATGAAGAGCTGCCCCCAGACTCCTTGTTTTCGAGCTGGGGCAGTGCGGTGGTTTGCTGAAGGGATGGATTCCCCGGGTGCCCGCAGTGCTGGGGGAGTGGGGGGACAGCGGGGGGCTGCTCGGTGGGGAAGGGCTGCCAGGGGGAAGGAGGCTGCTCGGTGGGGAAGGGCTGCCAGGTGCAGAGGCACAGGGGCCGCGGGGCAGGGCGTGAGCATCCTCCTGACTCACCGGGAGCTGCTCGGTGCGTGGGGGAAAGGGTTAAGGCAGGAGCTGCAGAACAGCCCCGCGCAGGTGTGTACCTGGGGCAGGTACGTACGTGGCAGCAGAAGAGTCCCTGCCAGATCAAATCATGGTCAAACCTCACCAACACGCACTGGTCCTTCAAAACGCTGCCTTTTCCTAACCATCCCTCAGTTAAAGCTGGTACTGTGGAGAAGCCCAGGTTTGTGAGGCACCCCCAGGAGGGAAAAAGAGCCCCAGGGCCAGCTGTGCCTCCGTGGGCAGCAGCAGCACCAGGGTTTGGGTGACAGCCCTGAGGATTTGTCCCGGGGGCATTCCTGCTGTTAACCCCTCCACCACTCGCATTCCATTAGCAGAGATCTCCTCCTTGTCTAGACCAAAGGATTTAGGAATTTACTGCCTTCTCTGACCTGTGGGTATCACTTCCTTTAGCTCCTGACACCTCCAGAGCCTCTCTGAGCACCCTGCCCTAGTGCCAGGGGTGGAACAAGATGAGTTTAAGGTCCCCTCCAAGCCAGACCCGGGATTCTGTGAGTGCTGTGTCCCTCTGTGCCCTTTAGGGGATAAAACCCCTGGGAAGTGCTGCATGGGGTTCCTCAGAGCAAGCCTGGCTTCTGGAGGTACAGCCACCCCAGGCCCTCTGCTCTGGCTGTTTTGCTGCTGCTGCAGCCCTGGTGGCTCTGCAGGGAATGGTTTTTCATACAGAGATTGAAAAGAATCATCCCAGCACGGGCTCAGCATCACCTCATTCCTCTGCTGCAGCAGGACTGGGGTCAGCACTGCTGGCTCCAGCAACACAGCTGATCCTGGCACAGATCCTGCCAGCACCGGGAGATAAGCCCCATCTATCATCTCCGTGCTCAGCAATTACGTTTTAATTGAAAATGCAAATCTGACGATGCTCACGCCTCTCCCCCAGTGCCTGGGCCGTGTCAGACCAGCCTGAACTCAGATCACCTCCCAGTCCCCGGTGCCCAGCCTCGGTACAGAGGGGTTCTGCTTTCCAGTTCTGCCCTCCCTCGGGCAGGGCAGGGCAGGAGCTGCTCCTGGGCACAGCTCCAGCCCGGACTGGCACTCACCAGGGGCAGGAAGGTCAGCAGCGGCCGGACCCTGGGACGGGGCTTGAGCGTGGCAGTGCCGGAGTCTGTCACCGTCCCGAAGCGATTGTCACCGTAATAGACCTCGATCACATCACCTGAGGGAGAGGGGAGAGCAGACCGTGAGCAGCAGCACCAGCCTGGGCACCAGTGCAACAGCACGGGCACCCTGGCGGCTCCGAGAGAGCTGAGGAGAACCTGCTGGCCTGGAGCTGAGTGGAAAACAGGAGAGGGAAGCCCCCTGTGTGTGGGACAGGCACTCACAGACCTGTCACACACCTGCAGAGACAGAGATCCTTCACTGAGCCCTGCAGGATGAAGGGAGGCAGCTCAGGAGGAACAAGGGGCAATCCTGGCTGAGCACAGAGAGCCTTCCCTGAGCCCTGCAGGATGAAGGGAGGCAGCTCAGGAGGAGCAGGGGGCAATCCTGGCTGCTCTGAGCAGCTGGAGTTGAGGGGCAGGCAGCAGCAGAGCTGACCAGGACAGTGACAGCTCCTGCCTTTCCTGCCCCACCGAGCACTGGCATCCAAGCCAGAGGCAATTCCAGGTGTATCCAAGCCAGAGGCAATTCCAGGTGCTTCACAACACTCGCACACTCCAGCCTGCTTTGGGTGACTTCCCACAGGATGCCGCCGTGCCCAGGGGACACAGCAGGGCAGGAAGTCACAGGGCCCTGCTGTGACAATCAGGAGGAGCCGTCAGGAATTCCTGGTTCCCAGCCTTGTGCTTTCACCTTGAACCACACCTCTTGAGCCGATTTATTTCTGACAGTGAATAAAGCTCATAAAATTAATTTAATTACGTTCTTTGTGTCTGATTAGCAGCATGAATTAACAAGCAGAAATACTGAAGCACGTAAACCCCACCTTGGCTGGAAGGAGATACACAAATAACTCGTAGCCAAGGAGACCGACATGAAAGAAAATCAGAGGGTTTGAGGAAGGAGGGGGAAGCAACAACATGGCTGTGATTGAAGGGGAAGCTGCAGGAGTGCTCCCAACAGCAGACTCTGAGAGTGAGGAAGGGGGAGAAGAAGAAGGATGGGCAGAAATCAGGAGGAAGCTCCAAGGGAAACAGCTTTACACCAACTCTAGAGAAAAAGGAGGAGGGCAAATGCCTCTGTGTGCATCCCCCTGAAGGAAATCACTTGCATGAACACCTGGAATGGAGAACCTGACCACACCAGGGGCTGGGCATGAGGCAGCACAGCCTCTGCTGAGGCACTGGAGGCAGATGAATTCCACACAGCCTTCAAACACACCACAGGGCCCAGAAGCTCCTCAGCCTCTCCCTTCTCTCGCCCACCACCCCCAGGAGTATCTGCCCTGCTATCACTGCCCTTCCAGGCAGCCACAGCTTCCCCTCCCTCACACCAGACTTCTCCCACTACAAGTGATTCTTCTCCCAAAGGACATTTTCTCCAGCTCTCAAATCACCAATCAGCTGTGCTTCAGCCAGCCTGCTCCTACCAAGACTTTAGCACTTCCCTGCCTGGGAGGGACCCAAAAGCACTCAGGAGGAGCTGCTGGAGTCCCAGAGAGGATAGAGGTGTCAGCAAAGTGCCTGGAAGTGTTCAAGGCCAGGCTGGATGGGGCTTGGAGCAGCCTGACCCAAGCCTGGGCTTGGGAGGTGTCCCTGCCCATGACAGGGAGTGGAACGAGATGAGTTTTAAGGTCCCTTTCCACCCAAACCGCTCTGTGATTCTGTGATGATTAATTTTGTGAGTAAAGAGCAGGAATTAAGGCCAAGGCAACAGGAGAGCTTGGACTCAGACAGCCTGAGCAGCGACAGAGTAGTTCTGAGACCTGAAACGATGAGTTTCCTACTTAACAAGTCACTAGGTAAACCCAGTGAGAAACTGGATTAAAGATCACAAGGACTTTGATCCTAGATTACTAAGCATCGCTACCCTGAACGCTTTAATTAAAGGAAAATGAAGTGCTTGTAGTTGTGTTTTCTCTGCTAGATAAACAGGACTTGCCTGCTGGGAGCCCATCAGCAGCAGGACCTGAGCTCTGCCAGCCTCCTTTCCTGGAAGGAGGCAGCAGGAAATGCACCCTTGGAAGCTGTGGGAAGCAGCTGGCTCGAAGCACTGGCCTTGCTTCGGCCACTTGCTGACATTCAGCCTGTCCTGGAGACACTCGTGTTTGCTCTGCCATGGGAAATTACAGAGACAATTTGCCACGCATGTAATGGAACTTCTTCCTCCCCGGGGGTTGCATCACCTGGAGGAGGCGCAGCAGGTTTGAGCCGGGGTATCCACAGCTCCCAGGAGGAGGAGGAGGAGGAATCAGTCACTATATTCAGGAATCTCTGAGTCAGGGACATGCAAACCTACACCCATTGCACATTGCCCAACTTGTGTTTACTTTGTATGAGAAACCAAGGTGGGGATCGGCAGGAGCAGGGGACTCCTCCAGGCACGGAGCCCGGCAGGAAATGTCCCAGAAACAGGGCCAGGGCTGGGGCTGCCCCGCAGGACGAGCTGTGTGCGGGCCGGGGACAGCACAGCTGGAGCTGGGGCTGCTGGACCCTTGGGCTGATGTCCCTTGGGCTGATGTCCCTTGGGCTGCTGGCCCTGCTTGGGCTGCTGGCCCCCCTTGGCTGATGTCCCTCGGGTTCCTGGCCCCACTTGGGCTGCTGGCCCCCCTTGGGCTGCTGGACCCTTGGGCTGCTGGACCCTTGGGCTGCTGGTCCCCCTTGGCTGATGTCCTTTGGGCTGCTGGACCCTTGGGCTGATGTCCCTCAGGTTCCTGGTCCCCCTTGGCTGATGTCCCTCGGGCTGCTGGACCCTTGGGCTGATGTCCCTTGGGCTGATGTCCCTCGGGTTCCTGGCCCCCCTTGGGCTGCTGGACCCTTGGGCTGATGTCCCTTGGGTTCCTGGCCCCGCTTGGGCTGCTGGCCCCCCTTGGCTGATGTCCCTTGGGCTGCTGGCCCCCCTCACCCCGCTGCCACTGTGTCCCACTGTCCCCCTGCCCCTGCACCCCCACCAAGCCAAATTCGGGCAGAAACACCCGGAGGATGCTGAGGAGCGGCTCCCCAGGTGCTCCTTGGGCTCAGCTTTTGGGATTCCCAGCTCTTCCCCTGCAGCCTGCCCCACACCTGAGCAGAAAGCTTTTGCACTGCAGGAACGCAGCCACGGCAATCAGGCTCCTAACAAGCAGACACAGCAACTTCTTTTCTTTTTTCTAATCCAAACCACATCAGAGAGAAGCTTGAATCCTCCTCAGATTTACGACAGTTAGAAATCAGCAATTTTCCTTCTAGGTTGCAGAGTTGCATGAAACTCCCCGTCACATTTTCATTTTATCTTGGTTTCAGCAGCTTGGCCTTTGGGGTGTAACCACCTCGCAGTTGCTTTCACAGACAATACTTCACCCTGCACAGCTCAGCAGGCAGCACTTCCATTTTTTTAATCTTGGAAGAGTTTGTTGGGCTCTTACAGCCACCCAACTTCATCCACAAGCTGCTATCTTCTATCTACCTGGCTCCATTACTATTAATTTGGCTCCCTCCTACATGAGCCTGCAGGGCACCGTATTGCAATTAAAACCACAGAGAAACACAAATAAATCCCGAGGAATATGCAACCCTCAGCTCCCTCCTCGCTCACAGCCCTGCGAGAAACAGGTTTATGAGTAAATAACTCCAACCTGGGAAGGCGCAGCTCAAACATGGCGTGGGAAAGCGCGAGGGGAAGCAATAAACCCGATTTTCAGCCTCTTTGAGCCGAGTTTAGCCGGCGGGAGCGCAGCCGCCCGGCTCAGTGCGGAGCTCCGCGCCCGCTCGGGGCTGGGCTCGGGCACGGAGCGCTCCGGGCACGGAGCCCCCGACCCTTCCTTCCTTCCTTCCTTCCCGGGACCCCGCCCGAGCCGCGGCCGCGGGGGACACTGACCGGTGCCACCCGCGCTGTCCGAGGTCACCTCCTGCGCGAAGATCCAGGGCGGGTTGGCGGCGAAGAGCGAGGCGGCGCTGGGGCCGGCGTGGCGCTTGCCGAAGAGGCGGCTGAAGGTGCCCTGCACCGAGTGCGCCTGCTGCTTCTTCATGCTGCCGAGCCGGGCGCTGCCGCCGCTCCGGGCCGGGCATCCCGCCGGGACGGGACGGGACGGGAACGGGGCTCGGGGGGGCGGGGATGCCCCACCCCCGGCCCGCCCTCCGCCCGGTGCCCCGCTCGGGACCGGCACAGCGAGCCCGGCCCCGAGAGCCGCGGGTGGAGAGCGGCGAGCGTCCCGGGGCGGCTGCGGGTCCCGCCGGAGCCCCGAGCCTGCAGGGCCCGCTCCGGTGCCCAGGCTCCCTGTGCCCAGCAGCCTTCCCTGTGCCTCCCTGTGCCCAGCAGCCTTCCCTGTGCCTCCCTGTGCCCAGCAGCCTCCCTGTGCCCAGCCTCCCTGTGCCCACCCTCCCCTGTGCCCACCCTCCCCTGTGCCCAGCAGCCTTCCCTGTGCCTCCCTGTACCCAGCCTTCCCTGTGCCCAGCAGCCTTCCCTGTGCCTCCCTGTGCCCACCCTCCCTGTGCCCAGCAGCTTTCCCTGTGCCCAGTTTCCCTGTGCCCAGCCTTCCCTGTGCCCAGGCTCCCTGTGCCCAGCCTTCCCTGTGCCCAGCCTCCCTGTGCCCAGCCTCCCTGTGCCCACCGTCCCTGTGCCCACCGTCCCTGTGCCCAGCCTCCCTGTGCCCAGCCTCCCTGTGCCCACCCTCCCTGTGCCCAGCAGCTTTCCCTGTGCCCAGTTTCCCTGTGCCCAGCCTTCCCTGTGCCCAGGCTCCCTGTGCCCAGCCTTCCCTGTGCCCAGCCTCCCTGTGCCCAGCAGCCTTCCCTGTGCCCACCCTCCCCTGTGCCCAGCCTCCCTGTGCCCACCGTCCCTGTGCCCACCGTCCCTGTGCCCAGCCTCCTTCCCTGTGCCCACAGCCTTCCCTGCCCTCCGATACCCACACCCTCCAGGCTCTGCCCTTCCTCTCCCTCCCGTGTTCTCCGTCCCTGCAGCTCCTGCTGGGCCAGGAACGCGCGGTGAGCCCGGGCTGCTGCTTCGGATGCAAAACCCACAGTTTCACATCCGATTGTCTGGGAAAGCATTGGACTTGACCCCCAAACATTTCTAGGTTCAGGTACAAAAGCAAATTTCCAGCACTGGTAATGATTTTTGTGCCATGCAAGTAAAAATTGAGAGTTCTAGCACCGGTAATGATTTTTGTGCCATGCAAGTAAAAATTGAGAGTTAATGAGTAACATTGGATACTAATAAATGCAGAGAATTCTGGAGAACTTTAAACCCAAAATAGTTGTCAAAACATTAACTCTGAAACACAGCTTCCAACTTCAGGTTAGGATCTTGCACCTCTTTCTACCTCCACCACAGCCCGGCCCTGCCACCCCCAGCGACGCTCCCGCCTCAGCCTGGGTGGCAGGAAAACATCACGGAGGCATCTCGAGGTGGATTTATCATCCCACAGAGCACAAGCTGCTGAACCGTTCTGCCAGGGCTCCTGTGCACATTCCCAGCTGTTTGTTCCTGATGAAAGGTGTTTGTTCTTCACCTTCCACCTCCCAGCAAGGCGCAGACCTCCCCTCGGAAGGGCAGGAGCAGCTCAGGAGCAGCACGAGCAGCAGGCTGGGTGTGCTGCTGGCTTCTGAGAGGTGCAAACTCCACAGACACGGGAAAGCTGCCAAGCTGAGTGCCTGGGCTGTATTTTCAGGAAGGACAACTGTCACTCCTGCGAGATCGAGGCCACACAGCAAAAGGGACTGGTGGGCTGGGCTGGGCACAAAGCTCAGGAGAGCACTTGGAAGATCTCCAGCAGATTTTATGGCATAGAAAGAGCCATGTGAGCACTGCTGTGATGTAACACACCACAGTGTGAGGCTGCCTTTGATCCCAATACAGGTAAACACCCCAGAACAATCTGCTTTCACATCAGGGTGAGGAGCTGCACCCTCAGATGTGGATGGATGTTCCTGCTGCACTCGCAGGTGAAACAGGGCTTTGTGCAGCGAGGGCAGCGAGGGCCGGGGCTGCAGGAGGAAGGGACATGAGGAGAAACCTTCAGGTGTGCCTGCAGAACAGCAAACAGCTCCTGGGGACAGAGGAGCAGCTCGTGCCAGTGGGGCAGGGGGTCAGGGTCAGGGTCAGGGTCAGGGTCAGGGTTAGGGGTTAGATTTAGGGTTAGGGTTAGGGTTAGGGTCAGGGGTTAGGGTCAGGGGTTAGGGTTAGGGTCAGGGTTAGGGTCAGGGTTAGGGTTAAGGTTAGGGGTTAGGGTCAGGGTCAGGGTTAGGGTTAGGGTTAAGGTTAGGGGTTAGGGTCAGGGTCAGGGTTAGGGTTAAGGTTAGGGGTTAGATTTAGGGTTAGTGTCCTGCAGAGCCTGGCCCTGCCCAAGGTGCTCCCAGGGCTGTAGATCCTGTCCCCATGGCTGAGCCCCTGCACTCCTCTGCACCCCTGTGACATCCAGACCCCGGTGACACCCCGTGGTCACAATGGCCTGGCATCCTGAGGTCACAATGCCAGCCCTGACAAGGAGCCCTGCCCAGGGGCAGTGCTGGCTCCTGCCTCTGCCCCAGGCAGTCCCACCTGCAGGGCCTCCATCCTGAGACAAGCTCAGGTGAGTGTCCCAGGCTCGCAGCTGGCAGCAGGGTCACTGTCCCACCACGACCCCTTCCGTGGGCTGCAGGTCCCTGCCCCAGGGTGACAAAGTTGCAGTGATGTCAGTGAGAAGCTTCATCCCATCCCTGCTGTGCAAAACCTGTCAGTGCTGTGCCCCGTGGTGCTGAGAGCTCAGGGCAGAGAGCACCTGTGGGCCTGGGATGGATCCAGGGATGGCTCTGAGATGGATCCAGGGATGGCTCTGGGATGGTTCCAGGGATGGATCCAGGGATGGCTCTGGGATGGATCCAGGGATGGCTCTGGGATGGCTCTGGGATGGCTCAGGGTGGGCAGCTCTGGCAGCCAGGCTCTGGCAGCTGCCCAGGGAGCTCCTTCCTCCCCAGGGAGCACCTCTGAAACCTTCCTGCTTCCCTGGTGACTGACCCAGCTTTCCCTGGGACCCCCCTGGGGATTTGCTTTGATGGACACCAGGCAGTTTGGGAGGGATTAGGGATGTGCCTACATAGGAACGGGTGCAATAGGATTAGTGGGACTCTTCATTCAGGCACAGAGCGCTGGCAGGGCCAGAAATAGCAGCGGGACCTTAAGCTGGTGCTTGCCCTCCACAAGGCAGGGCTCACACAAGCAGGTGCATCCAGCCGGGCAGGGAGGAGGCTCTGCAGAGCTCCAGGTGCCCCAGAGGGCGAGCAGGAGCCGGGGGCAGCCCCGGGGCAGGGCAGAGCCAGGGTGGGCACGCCTGGCTCAGACCTGCGGGTGCTGCAGGGGCTGGGGGCTCCATGCCCAGCCAGGCTGGCTCCTCCTGGCTGAGTCTGCATGACTTAGCAATGGGCTGCCAAGGCAGCTCCAGCCTGCCCTCCACGCCCCAAATCCGTGACTTCAGTGCTCCTGCTGGGGGGTACACGAGCACCAGCACAGTCGTGTGTGTGCTTGTCTCCTCCAGAGCGAAAATGGCCAGGAGCTACCAGCACACACCTGGGTGAAACCAGCAGCTTCTGAACAGCCCAATTTGGGAACAGGGGTGCCCAAACCTCACTGAAATGGCTGTGGTGGTATAAAATCTTCTTTTGGGGAGCCAAAATCCCATTATTTTATCCCCTGGGGAAAGTGAACTGAGGTTTCCTGGCAGCAATAACCGCCGTGTGCTGAGGTCCAGCCTTTCAGGCATTGCCATCTGCCCTGGAGAAATGAGTGACAAACGAGCTGGTGAGCTGGTAGGGATCTGGTGATTCCCCTCAAAGGCTTTAAGGAGATTTCAAAACAATTTGCAGGTATTCCCCTTCTTAATAGATTTAGGAGCCAGGGAACAGAAATAGCACCGAGTACGTCACGGAAAGTAGGAAACCTCTTTACAAGGTTAAAAATAAGCAGCGCACTCATTTAGGACAGGCAGGAGTAGAGTGGCTAATTGCTGCGGGAAGAGCAGTTTCCACTCTCACAGAGGTGTCGTCAGTGGGAGCGAGAGACCTGAGTCACGCTGAGGTAACAGCACAGAACCTCTGCAGCCCAGCAGAGCCCTGCAGCCGCCCTGGGCCATGGCCAGCCCTGCGTGGCCACCAGCCAGCCCTGCGTGGCCACCCCGGCGTGTCCTGGGGCCCTGCTCTGCACAGGGCTCCTGCACCACTCGGGGCTCCTCGCTGCTCCTCGTGCCCTGCCCGGGGCCCTCACGTTTCTGGGGGAAACCTGTCAGAATCAACCCACTTGGAGATCCACGGAGAGCCATTCCCAGGGCAGGAGGAGGCTCAGGGGGCTGTGGGGTCCCTGCAGGGGCACCCAGAGCTGCTGAGCAGATGATCCACAGGACAGTGTCGGGTTCTGCCATCACATCACCCTTTTGGAGGCAGGTTTGTCACGGCTGTGGCTGGTGACAGCTTCACCAGGAGCGTGTGCTGCTGGCACTTGTCACTGCTGTAACTGAGACTCAACAGAGAATCAAGTCCTTTATGTCTCATCATTCATATTCTCAGTCCTTTATGTCTCATCATTCATATTCTCTCAGCATTTGTTTAAAGTCGCTTCCGTATTTCCAGAGCATCATTTGAGTTCAAAGTCCCTTTCTCTAGCAGCAGCAGCTCAGATTTTTGGCTAAGGATGTGCAAACCCCGTCTCCTCAGCACTCACACTGCCCTGACCGCCCTTGCAGGAGCTCCCAGCCCTTCCTGCTGGGGATGGTGAGGGCTGGGGGCAATTGCCACACATTTTTCTGCATCTTTCACCCCACAGGTGGCTGAAACACCAGAAGCCCCTGGCAAAGACCACGAGAGCCAAGGGAATGGAGGAGGCCCAAGCGGAGCTGCAGACCGCCAGCCCACCACCCAGGCTGAGGACCCGGCCCCCTCCAGCTGCCGCCCTGGGCTCTCGCTTCGTGCCCGTGGTTGCCCACGCCGGGGGCCGTCCCCTCAGCTCCTTCCACTTCGTGTTCCACCAGCCTGGGTGGCCCAACTCGCTGGCCCCGTTCCGCACGGCGCAGAAACCCTCCTGCGGCCCCCACTGCCCACCGGGCACCATCCACGGCCGGCAGCGCCTGGACGTGCCCAGCGCCGACCCCGGGCAGTGGAGATCCTTCCACGGGCCCAGGCCGGGGGCAGCCCAGAACCAGCAATAAACTGAGTGAGCCAGCAGCTGTGTGAGCAGCGAGACAGCAGCTGTGAGAGCAATGAGCCAGTGCCATCGATGTGAGCAGGGACAGAGCCGGGCCAGGGATGGGCAGGGAGGCTCTGCCCTGGAAAACATGCAGAGGGGTTTGCTCTGAAATCCTGCCCGGATCGTCCTGCCCTTCCCTGCACCGGGTGTCACAGCACAGGGTGTCACAGCACCGGGTGTCACAGCACTGGGTGTCACAGCACAGGGTGTCACAGCACTGGGTGTCACAGCACAGGGTGTCACAGCACAGGGTGTCACAGCACCGGGTGTCACAGCACCAGGTGTCACAGCACCGGGTGTCACAGCACCGGGTGGCACAGCACCAGGTGTCACAGCACCGGGTGTCACAGCACAGGGTGTCACAGCACCGGGTGTCACAGCACCGGGCACTGAGATGCCCACCCTGCCCAGCCTGGCCCAGCACGGCTCGGGCTGGGCTCAGGGCACTCCTGCAGCCTCACCTTGCACCACTGAAGGCTCACCTTGTGAGGACACAATTAGCACATCCAATTAGTGTTCCTCAGCTTAATTCCTCTTCCCTAAGTGTTTTAGGATTGTGTAATGCTGCTTTTTTTAGCAGAGTTATTCCTGATTTGCTGTGGTGCAGGAGCAATGCTGGCCTCTGTTACTCGTTAGGTAACTGCAGCTGCTGGACACAAACTGTGTGTTATGGAGAAAGCTGTGGGACACCCTGGACTCACATCCTTTCACTTCCAGCCCAGGCTCTGGCCCCTGATGCTTTCTGAGGAGATTTTACTCCCGAGTCCTTCTCAGAATGCTGCGTGTCAAAGTGAAGGCAGCATTGGATTTGTATTTACGTGGAGAGCTTTTCATGGTAACCCATCAGAAGTGAAAATTGCAGCTGCATTTAACTCCACTGGTGTGAGCTGCGTCTGCAGAGCAGCAGCCAGCACACACTGCTGGGGTGAGCAGAGTGTGGGGTGATTTTGAGGAAAAACCACTCAATTAGCAGGACCAAGACTGGACACAGGACCCCTGGAGCTGGGGGGTGAGGGCCCTTCCCCTTCCTGCTGTCTGCAATTAAAGCAGACTTAAACCTTCACCATTCAAAGCAATTACGTTTCTATATTTGTCTCCACACCAAATTTACCCTCCTGGCGTGGCTCTTCCAGGAGCTGAAGTGGCACTTCCCCCTCCCTGAATTCCAGGCTCTGGAGCCCCTCTGGAATCCTCTGGCAGAGTGAGGTGAAGGGAAAGCAAAAAGCAGAAACAGCACAGAGGATTCAGCGTGGTTTTCTCTCATTCTTCTTACTCTGGTTCTGGTCCAAAAGTTCTTGCTTAGGTGACACCAGCCCTCCCCAAATGATAAATGAAGTGGATTAAGAGATTAGCTCATCACAGAGAAAATTCCACCCTCCTAATCTCCTGCTGGGCCTGTAATCTGCAAGACTTCCCCATTTTACCTCTCTTCTATTTTAACCTGAACTCTTAATGCCTTGCAGGAGCCCACCGCCCCTCCGAGCCTCATTGGCTGGGGAGGGATTTGCTGGGTGCTTAAATGTCACCTTGCCCTCCAAAGAGGGTTTTGTGCTTTTGGGATTTCCCAGGAACAGAGTCTCGGGTGTCCATCACCGCTGGGATCTGCACAGCCCCAGGCACTCGGGCTGCTCCCGATGCCCTGAGCCTGCCCTGCTGGGCTTTGAAGGCAGAACTGTGAGATTTTCCCCCTAAATTTCACAAAGCCTCCGTTTTTGGCTACAAAGGGACCAGCCCTTGGTGTGGAGATGGGGAACATGGACGGGAAAACCGTGGAGGAGCTGAGCACCACCGAGTGCCACCAGTGGTACAAGAAGTTCATGACGGAGTGTCCTTCTGGCCAGCTCACCCTCTACGAGTTCAAGCAGTTTTTTGGCTTGAAAAACCTGAGTCCGGCAGCGAACAAATACGTTGAGCAAATGTTTGAGACGTTTGACTTTAATAAGGTAAATATTGTCCTTCCACTCGGCCGTGCAGGGATGGGCCGGGCTCTGCTCTGGGATCCCGTGAGCCGGGGCTGGGTGGGTGTGAGACAAAAACTGCTCTGGGTGCTGCAGCGGAGTCACTGCAGCCCCAAAAACTGCAGAATGGGTTCGGGAACGTGAAAAATGCCACAAAAACTCTTCACCCACTGCCTGCTCTGCAAGGACACAGAGGCTCCCCCCAGAACTGACATTTTCCTTTTAAAACAGTGGGGTTGTATCTGGCAGTCTTTGATCCCTTTAGAATGAAGTGCCCTTCAATCCCTAACCACTGGATGTTGTGACAGGCGCTGTGAGGACAAGGGCTGCATTCACCCAGGGACAGCAGTCCCAGCTCGGATGGGAATGTTTGTGCTTGAAACTGGACATGGACTGCACTGGGACTGGTTTTATTCCATGGGAAAAGCAGCTCGGGCTCCCTGTGCAGAGACTTTGCAGCCCAGGCTGTGGCTGAGCCAGACCCCAGAGGGGCAGTCCCAGAGCAGGGATTTGGGAATGCAGTCCCAGAGCAGGGATTTGGGACTGCAGTCCCAGAGCAGGGATTTGGGAATGCAGTCCTGCAGCAGGGATTTGGGAATGCAGTCCCAGAGCAGGGATTTGGGAATGCAGTCCCAGAGCAGGGATTTGGGAATGCAGTCCTGCAGCAGGGATTTGGGAATGCAGTCCTGCAGCAGGGATTTGGGAATGCAGTCCCAGAGGAGGGATTTGGGAATGCAGTCCCAGAGGAGGGATTTGGGAATGCAGCCCCAGAGCAGGGATTTGGGAATGCAGTCCCAGAGGAGGGATTTGGGAATGCAGTCCCAGAGCAGGGATTTGGGAAGCAGATGGATGCTGTGTCTCCAGCAGGAAACTGCATCCTCCTCTACTTGCAAATGACCTCGAATTGCACCTGTGAGATGAGGACTCTATTTTATGGCAACCCAAAGGGCTTAGTGGCATTAATCCCATTGACAAAAATGCAAATCGGGCCCTAAATCCTTCAGGTGTTTGGTTTGTGCCTGGGCCTTCCCCTTGCTCAGTGCCCTGTTTGAATGCATGCCTGGAAAGGGAATTGCTGCCCAGGAAATCCTGCTGGGAACGGGCTTAGCAGTTCTTTGTCCCTAATCTGGCTCCTGCAGCAGTGGGCTAAAGCAGATGATCTCCTGTGGCAGGCCCTGCTGCCTTGGCTTAGGTCTGTGCTGGGAATCAGGGAATCACTGGCACTGGGAAGGGCCCAGGGTCACTGAGCCCGGCTCTGCCAGGCTCACCATGCACCCTGTGCCACATCCAGTGGGCACAGCAGAGCCACGGGACACTCCGTGCTGGGCAGGAGGCATTTGAACAACCTCCTGGGAGCTGGGAGCATCAGCTCTGGGGGCACTTTGGTGGCCTGGGAGCTCACGGCAGCAGCTTGGCAGTGGTGCCACGTCCTGGGTCCGGCTGGACACCTCAAACACGGTGGCACGAGCTGGGGAGGGCAAACACCTGCCAGGAAAGTCACAGATAAAAGTGTTTGTGCTCTAAACGTGGAGCAGGTACAGAAATGGGGCACAGAGGAACACCTTCCCAGCCCGAGATGTCAGCAGCGTGCTGGGGTCACTTCTGAATCCGCTCCTCTCCTGGAAATGAGACCCCTGGCAGGAGAGAGGAGCTGTGGGTGTGTGCAGGCAGGATGGGGTGGGCGATTTATCAGCGCTCATCTGCACAAACCTCTCTGACCTCTGAATTCCGGCTGCTTTGGGCTGGTAATTAATGCCTGGAGTGTTAATTCCCTGAGCACAGGCCAGCTCTCAGTCCCCAGGCTGGATCCACACACCCAGTCCTGCCTTCCCAACATCTGTTGGTCCGAGGCTGGACTTCATGGTCTTGGAGGCCTTTCCCAGCCTTTATGGCTTTATAATTCTGTCATTCCACAGCATTTCTGCAGAGATTCAGGTGGAACCTTGGCTTTCACCACTGCACTCCACGAGCCCCTGGTCTCAGCGTGGAGGGAGCAGCTCTGGGGAACTTCAGAAGCGACCAAGAGAATCCCTGAGTGCCTGACTCTGCTTTTTATCCCAGCTTACCTTCTAACCCTCTGCTTCTAGGATGGCTACATCGATTTCATGGAATACGTGGCAGCCCTGAGCCTGGTGCTGAAGGGGAAGGTGGATCAGAAGCTGAGGTGGTATTTCAAACTCTACGATGTGGATGGGAACGGCTGCATCGACCGGGCTGAGCTGCTGAACATCATCAAAGTGAGCGGGCCCAGCTCCCCACTGCTGCCACAGAGGGGTGCAGGGACACAGGGAGGCTGGAGCAGCTTCCAGCCCTGAATCCCACTGCCCCAGGCTGCTGCTGTCCCCTGCCCCAGCCTGCTGCTGTCCCCTGCCCCAGGCTGCTGCTGTCCCCTGCCCCAGCCTGCTGCTGTCCCCTGCCCCAGCCTGCTGCTGTCCCTGCCAGCGCTGCCAGCCGTGCCCTCCCACAGCCCCACAACCCTCACCCCTCTCCTCCCCTGGCAGCCTGCCTGGCCCTGTGCGCTGGAGCTGGGGCTGAGATAAGCACTTGTATTTAATCTAAGGGTTTTCAGAGGTGGATGGCTGCTGCCTTATCCCAGCATGCCACTAAATCTTGTAAAGCATCGATTGCCTTTTCAGGTGGTTTTAATCTCCAGCCTTTTAGACAGGACTCGTTCCTTTCGAAGCCTAACTGCCCGAAAACAAGTTGTAGCCCTGAAAAAGCCTTTGGCCTTTCATGCCTGGCCATTTGGGCACTTGTTCTGACGGGCACACACCCCTGCAGAGCACTCATGCCTGTGCCCCTCTCCCCTCCAGGCCATTCGCTCCATCAACCGCTGCAACGAGACCATGACGGCCGAGGAGTTCACAGACATGGTGTTCAACAAAATCGATATCAATGGAGATGGTGAGGCCCTTCCTCGGGCAGTGCCACTGCTCTGCCCTCCCTGCCCTGCGCCCAGGCTGCCAGAGCAGCTCCTGCTGCTGGATGTCCCAAATGGGACAGAGGGGGGCTCTGGTGGGGCTGAGCTCCCCATCCCCTGT